TTTTTGATTTATTGTAGAGATGAGGTCTCGCCAAGTGGCCCAGGCAGGTCTCAAACCCGCGGGCTAAGGCAATCCACTCACCTCAATCTCCCAAAGCACGGGATTACAGGCTGAGCCACAGAGCCCAGCTGATGTTTTTTCTTTATAATTGAGTGAAGTGATCACTTTGTCCCCAGGTCATAGCTGCCTGAGGCACTGTGTGCGTGTGTGTGTGTGTGTGTGTGCACGTGTGTGTATTAGTTGAATGACTACAAGTGACTCCTAGTTGTACCCTACAGACAGACCTTGGGAATAGCCATAGTTCACAGACTTCCCAAGAGAATCCAAGCAACACACATGCATTTGGCGCTCGAAAGGTGCCCACAGAACCAAATCGAAACTGGTCCCGGCCATGAGATCACATGGCGAGCTGGGATGCAGGAATGAAAGCCCAGGGGAACCTGAGGGGGCCAGGCGGGGGCCGTGGGGAAAGGATCTGGGTCTCCGCCACCCTGGCTCTGGGCCCTGGGGGCTCCCCCTCTGCCCTCCCTCTACCGCTTTCTCGGGGTCCTCGTAGGTGTGGATGGACGCGGGCACCCAGATCTTCTTCTCCTTCGCCATCTGCCAGGGGTGCCTGACGGCCCTGGGCAGCTACAACAAATACCACAACAACTGCTACCGGTGAGACCCTGCGGGGTGGGGCAGGGTGGCCAGGGAGGGCCCGGCGCCCGGGGTGGGCTCTGAGCCCGCTGTCTCTGGGCCCAGGCCCTCTTTGTGGGTTGTAAGTGATGCCACGCCGGCACGGGGGGTTCATTTTCCAGACTGACTTTCTTTCTCCACCTTTTCCCTCTGGCCTTCCCCGCCTTGCTTCCAACTCCGGATCTGTCCCCTCCACGCCCTTCTCCTCCCCGGGCTGCTACTTCTCTCCCCGATCCCCTACTCTCTCCTGCCGTCTTTATGCCTCCCCCGGGGGGGTGGGTTTCCTTCTCCCCTCCCCTCGGTTCCTGCCCGCTTTCGCCCGCCCCTCCCCACCCGCACAGGGACTGCATCGCCCTCTGCTTCCTGAACAGCGCCACCAGCTTGGTGGCCGGTTTCGTGGTCTTCTCCATCCTGGGCTTCATGTCCCGCGAGCAGGGGGTGCCCATCTCGGAAGTGGCCGAGTCAGGTAGGCGCCACCTTGCTGGGAAGGAGAGTCAGAGAGCACGGTTCTGTCCTACAGAAAAACAAGCATCCCAGAAGCCGGGCGATAGGATTTATTTACGGGTCATGGGATTGACGTGCACTCCTGGGGCCGTGCTGGGCGCAAAGCTGGGCTTCCATGCCCCGGGAGGGAAGGGTGGGGAGGAGACAATGGGTGGACGGAGTTGCCCACGTGGGCGGCTGAATGAAGAATGGATCGTGTGTCAGGCACAGTAGCTCATGCCTGTAATCCCAGCACTTTGGGAGGCCGAGGAGGGAGGATCTCTTGAGCCCAAGAGTTCAAGACCAGCCTGGGCAACATAGTGTGACCCTGTCTTTACCAAAAAAAAAAAAAATACAGAAATTCGCCGGGCATGTGTGTCTGTAGTCCCAGCTATTCGGGAGGCTGAGGCAGAAGGATCACCTGTGCCAAGGAGGTGAAGGCCGCGGTGAGCCATGATCGTGCCACGGCACTCCAACCCGGGCGAGAGAGTGAGACTCGGACTTGATAAAAAGTAAATAAATAAAAAATCAAGGCCGGGCCCAGTGGCTCAGCCTGTCATCCCAGCACTTTGGGAGGCTGAGGCGAGTGGATTACCTGAGCCCACGGGTTCGAGACCCACCTGGGCAACTTGGCATAGACCTTGCCTCTACAATAAATCAAAAATTAGTCGGGCGTGGTAGTACACACCTGTAGTTCCAGCTCCTCGGAAGGCTGAGGCGGAAGGATGGCCAGAGCCCAGCAGGTCGAAGCTGCGGTGGCTGGGAGCGGCCCCTGCCCTCCAGTCTGGGCGACGGAGTAAGACTCCAACTCAAAAAAAAAAAAAAAATCAAAGCCGGGCTCAATGGCTCAGTCCGTCATCCCAGCACTTTGGGAGGCTGAGGTGTGTGGATCGCCTGAGCCTGCAGGTTCAAGCCTCGTCTGGGCAACTTGGTGAGAACTCATCTCGACAATAAATCAAAAATCAGCCGGGCGTGGTAGCGCATGCCTGTCATTCCGGCTCCTCGGAAGGCTGAGGCGGAAGGATCGCCGGAGCCCAGCGGGTCGAGGCTGCGGTGGCCGGGAGCGGCCACTGCCCTCCAGCCTGGGTGACAGAGGGAGACTCCGACTCACAAAAAAATCAAGAACGGTGTGCTCTCCAGAAGCTGGGAAGAGCAGAATGAAGGTTAGGAACACGTGTACGCGCGCGCGCGCACACACACACACACACACACACACACACACACACACACACGCTTGGAGAGGGCCTCCCTCCCGCAGGCCGCCGGGGCGAGCCCGCCTGACGTGCCCCGTGCCCGGCAGGTCCCGGCCTGGCCTTTATCGCCTTCCCCAAGGCGGTGACCATGATGCCCTTGTCGCAGCTGTGGTCCTGCCTCTTCTTCGTCATGCTCATTTTCCTGGGCCTGGACAGCCAGGTGGGTCCCCGGCCCCGCCCTGCCTCCAGACCCTCTCGCCCGCCTGGCTTGTCCTGCACAGCCTTCTCCCTCACTCCCTTTCCCTGACTGTGATCCGAGCCCGTCCCTCCCCCACTGGCTTTCCTCGGGGGCGTGGAGTGGCCCCAGGCCCAAGACCCTCCTCTTCGAGCCTGGATGCTCCCTCCCCAGTGCTCCTCCAGCCTTCTCCAGCTGCCCAGCCTCAGGCCCCGAGTCTGGAGGGCAGGACGCACCCCCCCCCCCCGGCAACCTCACAGTTGGGACCCGGGCCACCCGCCCATGTCCGCCCCAGCGCCCTCCTGCCCCTGTGCAGGGACATCCTGACCTCCCCCTCGTCCCTCCTGGCCTGCAGTTCGTCTGCGTGGAGTGCCTGGTCACGGCCTCTGTGGACATGTTCCCCAGGCAGCTCCGGAAGAGCGGGCGGCGGGAGCTTCTCATCCTCGCCATCGCGGTCACGTGCTACCTGATAGGGCTCCTTCTGGTCACCGAGGTGAGTGGGCAGGCCACCAGCGAGTGAGGCACCGAGGAAGTCCGCCTGGACCTCAGCCCCACTCGACGTGCCACACGGGAACCCTCCGCAGAGCCACGCTTTCCTTATATTGCTAAATGGGGTGTGGACCCCTGCCCCGCCTCCCTCACAGCGAGATTGTAAGGCCTGCACAATAGAATCTACCTGTGGATTCTGTCGGTCACGGGTTACAGAAACCAGGGACAGGCTGGCTTCAGCCGAAAGGGGGATTTATTGGGCCAGGTAACTGAAAAGTTGGGAGATACTGGGTTTCAGGCATGGCTGGATCCAGCTGCCCTCATGGCATTGTCAGGAACGCTCTTCTCTGTCTCCTGGCACCTTCACTTGTAGGCAGCTTTCCTCCTGTGGCATTAAGGAATTAAGGAATGGCCTCCAATTTAATGTTCTACTGTCCAGCCAACCCCAGAGGAAAGAGAGGGTCCGTTTCCTGAGAGGGGGCAAGTGTCCAGGCCGTGACTCTTATTCTAGCCCGAGAAGGCTAGAGAGGGACATCCTAACCTAAGATGAACCGAGGGTGAAGTGGTGTGACTTTCCAGAATCTGATGTGCCAGGCGGACAAAATGGCAGGCATCCTCCCCCAAAGCCCTTGCAGATGTCAGAGTGTCGTCCTGTTGCCCGAGAGGCCTGACTGCAGGGCCAGGCAGGGCCAGGCAGGGCGGCACCCCAGAAGGGTGTGTGCCCTCCCTCTGAGGAATGGAGCGTGTCCCCTCCCGGGGGGCCCAGGCCTCAACTCCGCCGTCTCCCGCCCAGGGTGGAATGTACATCTTCCAGCTGTTCGATTACTACGCGTCCAGTGGCATCTGCCTGCTGTTCCTGTCGGTGTTTGAAGTGGTCTGCATCAGCTGGGTGTACGGTGAGTGGGGGCGGGTGGGGAGGGGCGGCCGGGCGGCTGTGCCCGGGGGGAGCACGGGCACTCCGGGCCTCCGGTTTCCATGCCCTCTTGCTGGGAAGATGGAGCCCCCAGCATGGAGGCACATCGAGTCAGGCTGGCGACAAAGCGGATTTTCTCGAATAGCGCGATGTCGGCCAACACGTAAAAGTGACCAGTGTCTCCGCAGAGAGGCTCTGTGCCAGAGGCCCTCTGCCGGCTGGGAGCCTATCAGAGGGGATCTTCAGACCAGGCACAGGGGTTCACGCCTGTCATCCCAGCCCTTTGGGAGGCCGAGGCGGAGAATCACTTGAGTCCCGGAGTTTGAGCCCAGCCTGGGCAACACAGTGAGGCCTCGTCTCCACAAAAAAATAAAAATTAGCCGGGCGTGGTGGCAGACACCTGTAGCCCCAGCGACTTGGGGGGCTGAGGCGGGAGGATCACCTGAGCCCAGGAGGTCGAGGCTGTGTGCCACTGCACTCCAGCCTGGGCGACAGAGTGAGACCCTGACGCAAAAAAGAAGGGACCTTCAGGCTCACTTGTGAGGTCTGACCCTCCACACTTTCCCACACTTCCTTCCCGACCGTGAGGTGATCCCAGACTTGGCTGGGGGACTTCCACGGACAGGAAACTCATTCCTGGGTTTCTGAGGCGGCCTGCAGTGCGTGTGCATTTTTTTCTCATGCTGAGGGGTTTCTGCCAGCCCCCTCGGCACTGAGATGCCCGCCAGCGATGCCGAATGCCGTGATACCCGTGTCACCATCTGACTCCCATCGGGGAGAAGCCTGTGTTCACTGAGCCCCGGCACTATGGCAGGCCTAGCGCCGTACTGGCCGGTCTCATGCCCTGGCAGTCCACACCACAGCCCTTGGCCGCTCAGAGAGGCGGGTTTCTTGCCTCACCTCACACAGCTAGCGAGTGGAAGGGAAGAGCCGTGGGACCCCGGGTCTGTCTGGCTCCGGGGCACCGGTTGGGGGAACACAGTGCCGGTGTCACAAGGCTCAGGGCCGAGTGGACACAGGGGTGCCACACAGTGGGGCCTCGGCAGGAGCCACGAGGAGGAAGGCTGCTGCTTGGTGTTCTTTCGTCTCCTTGGAGAAGCCTCTTACGCTCGGGCCCCGGCACCAAACGCCCGCCGAGTTCCCCTGCGCTTTTCTGCACTTGTCTGATGAACTCGGTCACAGTGAGGCGTCCATGGCTAGGAAGCCTTAGCAGGTGACACCCTGCCCCCAGTGAGATCGGGCTTTTAACTTTGGCTTTGAGAAGAAGTCAACGGAGGGATCGCCTGAGCCCAGCAGGTCAGTGCTGGGGTGGCCGTGAGCGTGCCACTGCACTCCAGCCTGGGCAATGGAGTGAGACCTCCAACTCAAAAAAAAAAGTCAAAAAGGTGTCTTTCTTTCTTTCTTTCTTTCTTTTTTCCTTCCTTCCTTCCTTCCTTCTTCTTTCTTTCTTTCTTTTGTTTTTGAGTCAGAGTCTCACTCTGTCACCCAGACTGTAGTGCGGGGACACACCCACGGCCACCGTAGACTTGACCTGCTGGGCTCAGGCGGTCCTTCCGCCTTACCCTTCCAAGTAACTGGAGCTACTGGCATGCGCCACCACGCCTGGCTAATTTTTTGATTTATGGTAGACACGTGGTCTCGCCAAATTGCCGGGGCTGGTCTTGAACCCCTGGACTCAGGCAATTCTCTCGCCTCGTGCCTCCCCAAGTGCTGGGATTACAGGCGTGCGCCACTCTGCCCAGCTAGGAGTGGCTTTCTAGGGGTGGATTTCAGGCGCCAGGGACCAGCAGGGAAGCGCTAGGGGGTGGGGTCAGGGCGCCCTCCTGAAGTCTTTCTCCGGGAGCGGTTCTTCTTAGAAGACTGGCTGTGCCCAGAGCGAGAGCAGAGGTGGAAGCCTGAAGACACTGAACCAGACCAAACCAGTGTTTTCACGACACTCGGGTCATCCTTCTCGCCGTGCCTTTGGGGGAGCTCTGAGGTGGTTCCCCCGGAGTCCAGAATCCACACCACTGTCCTGCTCCCGGGGGCTCTGCGGGCCGTGGCTGACCCGTGGGCCCCTTGCTGTTTTGCCGTTTGGACTTGAACCGTGTTCATCTGGGCTGTATGGGGAGACAAGCATTGGTACAGCCGCCCAGGGCCTGTTTCAGGCTCACCCCCGCCCTTTGTGGCATGAACAGGAGAGACCCTCGTCCCTGGACGGGCAGACAAGAGACAGCACCAACAGCTTCTGGGGGAGTCTTCTGCTCCCTGCTTGGTGACAAGGGAGTCAGGGACACATCTGACCCACCTGCCCTCTCCCCTGGGTGGGGGCGGGGAAGAACACAAGCCAAGCACCCAGGAAGCCGCTCTCACCCTCTCCCCCCTCCCCCCCGTGCCCGGGCAGGGGCAGACCGTTTCTATGACAACATCGAGGACATGATTGGCTACCGGCCGTGGCCCCTGGTGAAGATCTCCTGGCTCTTCCTGACCCCGGGACTTTGCCTGGTACGTGTCCGCCGGCTACCTCCAGAAGACCCCGGAGACGGGGGCAAGGATGCCCGGCTTGGGGTCGCTCCCCGCCCGTCTCTTCTGGCCGTCTTATCCATCCGTGTGTAGATGCCGCTTCCCCTTCCAACGCCACCCCTGCTCTCGGCCCGCCCCCTTCTGTCCGACTCCCAAGGATTGGCCTCCTCCTGTCTGTCTGCTCTGAGCCCCTCCGCACGCCTTCCTTGGGGTCTCCTGTCTCGTCTGGGACGGGGTGGCACCTCGGCCCGCGCCCTGCGGTGGCGTTGATCTTCCGCCTCACAGACGCGCCACCGTGGGTCTGCCCTGCCTCTGTCCCCGGCTCCGCGGGGCGAGGGGCAGACGTCGGCCGGTGGCCTCTGTCTCAGCCGCGGCTGCCGCCTCCTCCTCCCAGGCCACCTTCCTCTTCTCCTTGAGCAAGTACACCCCTCTCAAGTACAACAACGTCTACGTGTACCCGCCCTGGGGATACTACATCGGCTGGTTCCTGGCCCTCTCCTCCATGGTCTGCGTCCCGCTGTCGACCATTATCACCCTTCTGAAGTCCCAGGGTTCTTTCAAGAAGGTAGGTGGCCGGGGCGTGTCTCATCAGAGGAGGGCACCGGCAGGGGCTCTACTCAGGGCCGGACACATGGTGGAGGGTCCGGGAGCAAACACAAAAGCTGAGCTTTGGCCTCACAGGATCCTAATGAGATGGGGCTTTGAAGACCAGCCCAGTGGCTTTTCAGGCGTGTTCGTGAAAGCCTCACACCTGTCATTCCAGCACTTTGGGAGGCTGAGGCGGGAGGATTGCTTGAGCCCGGGAGTTTGAGATCAGCCCAGGCCACGTAGCGAGACCTTTCTAAAAATAAAAATAAAAAGTGAGCCGGGTGCGGTGGTGCGTGCTTGCCGCTCCGGTTATTCAGGAAGCTGAGATGGAAGGAGCGCCTGAGCCCAGGAGATTGTGGCTGCCGTGAGCCACGACTCACCGTCGCACTCCAGCCTGGGTGACAGAGCAAGACCCTGACTCAAAAAAAAAAAAACAGAGTCCTAAAGTCCTGACCTGCAGAATCTGACCTCCGGCAGGTCATCTGGGCAGCCTAGCCAAGGTCAAGCTGCCAAAGAGTTAAGGGGAAAACAGTCACCCGTGAGAACCACAGAGTCGGCCCGACACGGAAGGGTTACAGAACATCGATTCCCGGCTCTCGGACATCTGAGAACCAGCCACCACGGCTCATTCCACACGCAAGCACCCGGTTTCTTTTCATGTCTCTGCCCTGGCTGGAGACACATTCGGAAGGCTCCTGTGTTGACTCTGGGACACGCCTTCCCGGGAGGAGCTGCGGCCTGTGACCCATGACGGTGGACACGCACCTTGCCTACAAGTAATCGAAACACAGCCGGCAATCGTTTTAGCAAACAGGCGTGTTTATTTTCTGCACATCCAGAAGGTCGGAGCTGGCGGCTGCTTAAAGAGGCCATTAGAGGCCAGGCTTGTCCTCTGTTTCTGCACGTCTGTCCTGAGCGTGTTGTCTTTTCATTATCATGTTTGTCACCTCATGGTCACAAGATGGTTGTCATAATTCCAGTTGTCACGTCTGTATTCAAGGCAAGAGGTGGGGGGTGGAGATGGTACCAAAAACAATAGTAGCAATAGTAATAGTAGTACTATTCATCACAAGAAAAGTAGTAGATATGTATTGAGCGCATTGTAATGGTAAGAATAAGGATAGTAATGATAGCCTGGGCAACATAGTAAGACCCCATCTCTACAAAAAAATAAAAAATTAGTCTGATGTGGGGTACACGCCTGTCGTCCGGCTACTCAGGGGGCTGAGGCAAGAGGATCGCCTAAGCCCAGGAGGTCGAGGCTGCAGTGAGCCATCACCACACCACTGCACTCCAGCCTGGGCAATCAAGCAAAACTTTATCTCCAAAAAAAAGGAATAAGGGCCGGGACCAGTGGCTCAGCCTGTAATCCCGGCACTTTGGGATTGCCTGAGCCACAGGTTTGAGACCAGCCTGGGCAACTTGGCAAGACCTTGTCTCTACACTAAATCAAAAATCAGCCAGGCGTGACAGCACGCACCTGTAGTTCCTGCTACTTGGAAGGCTGAGGTGGAAGGCTCGCCAGAGCCCAGCAGGTCGACGCTTGGGTGGCCGGGAGCGTGCCACTGCCCTCCAGCCTGGGCCACGGAGTGGACTCCAATTCAAAAAAAAAAAAAAAAAAAAAAGAAAAGAAAAAAGACTAGTACTGATCATAACAAAACCAGACATGTATTGATCCCATTGCCGTTCTGTGAGGTGTGTTCTGCTGTGACCCTCATTTTCCAGGGGAGAGGGCCACACTGACTGAGGGGTCAGGTGAGTGGCCCGACACCTTGCAGGGAGTTAGCGGCCAGCCGAGATGGCCCCAGGCAGCTCGCCCTCCTCCCCGCCCTGTCACGGCCTCCCCTTCACCTGCTCAGCCGTGGACTCACGAGGCACTGAGTGGCCCCCGTGCCTGGCCCTGGGCTGGGCCCTGGGGGCGCACCCACGGGGCCCTTTCGCCGCCGCCCTTGCCCCCAGCTCCCCCCTTTCTCTCCGCAGCGCCTGCGACGGCTCATCACCCCCGACGCCAGCCTGCCCCAGCCCAAGCCACGCCTCTACCTGGACGGTGACGCCAGCGGGGACGGCGGGCCCCCCTCAGTCAAGGACGGCCTGATCGCCGGGGAGAAGGAGACCCACTTGTAGGATTTGGCCAGGCAGCTCCTGAGCCAGGCGCCCGGGTCAGGGCCACCATCCACTCCCCACGGACAGCCTCTGCCTCTGCTCCCTCCCACCACCCTGCTGAGAGCCTCTGGGAGCCGTGGGCACCCCCGTCGGAGGCCAGACTCCTCTCCTGTCCTCGGCTGGAGCAGTAACTCCTGGTGGCCGGGGATGGCAGCCTGGGACACACACGCAGGAGGCTGTGTCCTGCTTTGGAACACGCCACCTTATTTATAAAGCAAGGGTCTCTCTGGAGCTGGGGAGACCCATGGCGGGGGACTCCCTGCTGGACGATGTGCTGACTTCTGAATATGCACGCCGGGAGAGGAGCTAGGATGGAAACGCACACACCAGCTGATTCAGAGCGCCCGACGGGGCACACCACGGTAGACGCAACATCGTTGGCTTCTGAGATCTTCTGAGATCTCATGAGAGGGGGCCCGTCATCAGGCTTATTCCGAAGAGGACACCAGGAGCTAGAGAAACAGCCAGGAGGTGACCCTTGCATGCCGCCGTCGTCTGGCGTTTCATCAGCTCATGCAGCATCGCAATGAAAAGGACTCAGAGCCCATCCCCAGGCTTTCCAAGCACACCGCATGCACACCTCTCCTCTCAGTCCCTGTGCCCAAGGCAGACATCACTAGCTGATCACAGATCCTTTCCCACTCATCATCCTTCCGGACGGTCTCCTGACAGCCCCATGGGCTTCTCACTCAGACCCCTGACTTCACGGATGAAAAAACCAAGGACCAGAGCCACCAAGTGACTTTTGCAAGTTCATGTGGCTTCTTGGGGACCAGAGATGGGACTAAAACCTGGTCCCCCCAGAGAACTTCCCGCCTCAGTGAACAAGTGTGTGTGGATTGCCTGCCGCGTGCTTGTCTCCTTGGCCTCAGCCTGTTTCTGGGGGGGAGGGAGGGAGGTGCCCTGGGGGGCTGTCAAGATGCTCTCCCCAGACGGGTGCCTTCCCTTGGGATTTCCTCCACCCGCCTGTTGTCACCTGACCAGACGTCCTCTCTGGACCCTCTGTTCTCGCCACTTGCTGTCTCCTCCCCTGGAGTTGCTCTGAGGTCCACAAGAGCCCCCGTCTCCCACTGGGAGGCATGTGAGGGTGCTCTTATCTGCTACCACAGAGGGGACGGGTCCCTCCCTTTCTCGCCCACATATTCCCTCCCCTCCCCATGCCCCTGCCGGGGAAGGCTTCCTGGAGGAGGAAGACAGGGCTTGGACAAGTGCAGTGTTCTTGTGTTCGGAGGAAGACAGGACTGGGACTGGGTGGGGACTTCTGGGCAGTTTTCTGGGGCAGAGGAAACAACCGGGGGAATAACGATGCGTAGCTAGATGCCACCCGGAGCCACTCAGTGGCGGCAGGAAACCTCTACGGCCTGGCAAGGGTGCGTCTGTCCTGACAGCCCCAGGCCATGCTCGGAGCAGCCCCACCCTCCACCAGATCTGTAGGGGCTCAGGCCGGGGTGGAGGGAAAAGGCTTCAGCCAGATGCTGGCCTCCAAGGGAGCGGGGTTGGCAGAAGACGGGAGGCGCGGCCGCGTGGTGCTGGCTGCTGCCGCCGGGTGACAACAGGGGGCAGCAATGTCCCTGCTGCGCCTCTGCCCCCTGGGGACCCTTCACACACAGCCATGGCCGCCCTCGCCCTCTGGTTGCAAACGCTCGCCCTCGGAAGGTCGAAAACTTCCTGCGTCCTTCTCCCCGCGGCCTGGTGGGGTTGGGGGCGCA